TATCTCGTTGGTACCTCACTCCGGTTCGCTTATCCCACATGTCAGCTAATCATTCCAAGTTATGCTGGAAAGGCTGTGGTCAAGAAGGTACGTATGCACACTGTTGGTTGCACTGTGTGGAAGTCAAAAAATTCTGGTCCTCAGTTACAAAACTTATCAAACGCATGATAGATGTTGAAGTGCCCCTCAAACTTGAATCTTTACTTCTAGGTCTCTGGCCACAACACATTGATCACCACCGTCACAAAAGTACATTAGAAATTATGCTATACGCTGCAAGGCTTTCGATTGCGTCACACTGGAAGGACCCCAATCCTCCCACGACACAAGTCTGGTTTAGGAAACTATGGGATCAATTCTTAATGGAAAGCATAACGGATAAACAAAATTGCAATGCCAGAAATCCCTCGGCATCTAACTTTACCGCGAAATGGTTCCCAGTATTATCTTTTTTGGAGTCAGAGGAGTTTATTTCTTCCCATTGGAAGAATTATATCAAATGGATTTAATTTTTATTGAGTGCCTTTTTGTCTATTTTGAATGCTTTTATATTACTTACATAAATTTATCGTCAATCACTTTATATTTATGCTCTGTTTAATTTATACACTCATTTGTGACTTGTTAGCTATAGATTACTACTCTTTCCTCCCATATCTCATAAGCCTTGTTTGGAGGTCTTTTACTGTAACCGTTGTTTATCACGTCACCAATGGCCAGTTGTACTAGGTTTCAATATCATACTAAGTTTGGTGATAACAAAGCTATGTTTCAAGTTAAATTGTTTCACAGAAATCTCTATCTCAGGGGTACAGTAGGATAACCCCCATTATGTGTTTTTAAGCATGTTATTCCAATTGTTGTTATTGTTACCTCATTGTTTCACTTAATAAAAACTGTTATTGAAAAAAAAATATTATTTATATGTATTATAATAAATATTATATTTATTATAATAAGAATCTTTTCTTTTTTGTACATTTTCAGAAAGCTGAGGAAGGCCCTAAAGGCCGAAACACATATGGTCCTATTGGTCATTTGATACATGCATCAATTCTGTATGTGAAATCATCAACTCTGCATGTAAACGACTAAAGCTTATTTCAAGCGCATGTTGATGTTCTAGGACAGGGGTGTCGAACTCATTTGTTATGAGGGCCGGATCTGACACAAATGAGACCTTGTTGGGCCGGGCCATGTATGTCATAAAATGTAATACCAGGTAGCGGAGATATAAACTTTATAAAGGA